TCAATCACCAAGTGATCATCTTCAAAGAGGAAGATGCAGGAGGCAGTTTAATCTGTGATCATCTTCAAAGAGGAAGATGCAGGAGGCAGTTTAATCTTCCTCTTTGAAGAGGAAGAGGATCACTTGGTGATCGAAACACGTGTCGAGGTGTTAAAAATAACTATTTGGTGTTGGGGAAAAAACTCCAGTAATATTTATTCATCCTTAAAAGGTTCCCTCACATAAACAACTTCAACTTTTCAAGATTCAATAACCATGGTAAGTTTCCTGCATATCTGGCAAAACTCGGCACTGATTCAAACCTGTTATGCTCATTTGACTCTTTTTTTAAGGAATATAAATCACATCCTAATCACATGTCCCAATTTCAAACTGTACCGGCCGGATTTCTTAAATATTTTGTCTTCCTCGAATGTTTCGTTTCCAACCAATATAACAGTTCTTTCAGCTACACTCAATGAAAAAATATTCAACATAATTATAACAGTCATGATTAAATCTAAAATATCATTATAAAACGTAGTAACTCGATTTTTTTCGAAATTTCTTTGGCAAAATAAAGTCCGGTTCGATACCAGAGGGGGATAAAAAAAACACTATCATTGCCAATGGCGGAATTCGAAGTTACGGAATAAAAAACTTGCCTTATTACTGCATCAGCACCTTCCTGGATAATATTATACTCCTTTTATTCATAACATAATGACTTTATGTTACGTGGAATTCAATGTTTATGTGAAAGTATTTATTTTGAGAGGGCGATGAAGAGTTTATTTTGGACCTAATTGCTTTCCTAGTTCTTCTGTGAGTTTTCCACAATTTTTCATATAAAGATGGAGAAGTGAACGCCCTTGAAATTTTTTTTTCTCTGAATATTTATTACACATCGAACAAACTCGACAGGAGAGAGAATAGAAATTTGTCGCGATGTCGGGTGGTGGAAGTTGAAGATCAATTTGACCGGATAGATTGGTTAGAAAAATACTATCTGCGAGGTCATTTAAAAGTTTGCCTGAGAAATGTTTTTCCAAACTCATATAATTCGTTTGGCTGTGAATTATTGAATTATTATTGATATAATATATCCCAGTTTTTTAAATCAATTTTATTCTCATTTATTTCATTTTCGAAAGAATATTTTTTATATTTATTTAACAGTAATGTTGCAGTTATCACCTTGCTCAGTTACAGAACTTCAGAAAGTTGGTTGGAAAAATCTGCGTAGAAAATCATGTCACAGATTTGTTTTGGAGAATGAAATAGAAAGAAATGACAACAAGAATACTTTTTGAGCATAGATAAATCTGACCGCATAAAATGTGAAAGTGTCTCTTCATTCTTTCTATATTTCCTGATCGAACAGAATCGATCACATACACATGTACTGAGATAGATCTACAAGAAAATAATTTCCCAGGAAATAAATTCAGGATACAGTACAGACGTACATTTTACATCGGAAACAGTGTACCTTCTAGGATTTATGGCACTTCGAACGATGGGAAACCGAATTTCCTAAGTAGTCTCGTGAAACGTCTTCAGAGATATATGGAGCAGTAGAACATGTTTTTTACTCGACCTTATTTCATCATAGTGTTCGTTGTGATTTATGATTCAATAAATGATTAATGGATCCGCTATGTGATTACTAATCGAAAATTCAATGTCTGAAAGGTTTATGTTTTGGTGATACTGTAATATGTATTACATGAGTAACATAATAGAGAGCTTCATGAGGATCTTGGAAAATGAACAATGAATGAATGGATATTGAATAATGATGAATGACGACTTGATGAGCATGAAGATTGATAATGCTGATTCAATTCCATTTCAAGAAGTTCCATTTTTGTTAGATGTTGTTGTAGGTATACAAAGAGTGAAAAAAATTATATATGAGTTTAATTCTTGGGGTGATTTCTTGTTTTCTCATGATATAATTAGATTTCTTGCTCGCTTCCAAGCCATAAAATGAAAATCGAAGTCTATTCACAAAACAGAATTTGATTTTAAAGTTCATTGAAATTGCGACAAATGATTTGTATTAACAAATGAATCTTCACGACGCTAGTGGGATTATTGTAAGAGCAAGAAAATAGTTCCACATTTTTTAGAAAACTAAGCTTGATATAAAAAACTTGAGATATAAAAAAACTGACGGTAT